TGGTCTGTTGACTGACCGTTGTGTTTGTTCAAATAATTGTTATGGGCAGGTTACAATATAAAAATATTTGTTATAATCATGTCTTGTGATTATTTGACAGGAGTTTTACTTTTAAACTGAAGTGTATTTAATTTAGTTATGCTAGTTATGATAGTTTAGTTATGATGTAAATACAATAAATATTAAAACAAGATTTAGAATAATTATTTTGATCCATACATTGCTAATGTCTGACTGGGCCTCGTGTCACTTTATGTTCAACAAATTGGGCCCCGAGGTCAAAAAGGTAAAGAACCGCTGCAGACATCTAATAAAGAAGACATCAAATAATAGAGCAAGCAGAAGATGTAGATCTAACTTGAATATATATTTTAGTGAATGTGATTCAAAATCAAATTAAGTGACATTCAGATGGATATAAACTGCACAGGTTTAGTTTAGAGTCGTTGATTAAAGCAAAAAAAAAAATTTAGTGTGAATAAATTTTTTTCTGAAATTTTCACCATTTTTCAGTGCAGGATGTAAAGTAAACTTCGAATAGACAAATGCATTAAAACATACAAACTTTATGCATTATATGTGCTACAATTTTATATCCTAAAACTACACAACACAAATTAACTTCAAAAATGTAATTTTTTTTATTTGTCAAACTGACAGATTTCTGCCTTAAAGGAGATATCATGCTTTGAAATCCTTTTTCACATTTAAATCATTCCGTTAGTGTCTTTATAAAGTGGAACTGCAATGCTTTGGTCTGAATTTCTCCTTATTGTAACTCCACAAGCCCCTCTTTACCCCTTTTCTGAGGTGTGTCTAACAACTCGATTTGAGGCTGTATCTTTAAATCCAAACAAGGTGCTTCACAACTTTCCCCGTCCAGCTTCCAGAGCGGTTCATTCCAGTTTGATAGAGGCGTTTATATAGCAGCGATATATAAACAGTTTAATTAAAAGATGTTAACAAGGGAAGACTTGTTCATCCAGCCTCACATGTTGGAGCCAGAGTCTGACCCAGAGACAGAGGAGAATGATAACAATGAGTTGTAGTTGGTAAGTCTTATACACTCACCGGCCACTTTATTAGGTACACCACGCTAGTAACGGGTTGGACCCCCTTTTGCCTTCAGAACTGCCTCAATTCTTT